AATCTGGTATGCCAACATCATCCGTCCCCCTTATCCTCTACCTTGCTTCATCCTGTACCCTCGCGACATCCCGCTTGTCCAGGGCAGACTGTATGTGCCAGCCATGAGTGGGCCGAGAGCCCCGTGGGAAGGGGGACCCCGACCGGGTGCCCAGCGGACATGCGCGGGTTAAAGCTCGGCCGTTGCCCCCCCCCCCCCCAGGGGCGGATCCACGATTTCGTCAAAGGGGGGGGGGGGCACGGGACATTGTGGGGCCCCCTGGAGTTTGGGGTCCCCTCCCAGCAAATATCCTTGCATTTGGTCATTACATTTTAGGACAAGTCGTACGCAACGTATATATATATATATATATATATATATATATATATATATATATATATATATATATATATATATGTGTGTGTGTGTGTGTGTGTGTGTGTGTGTGTGTGTGTGTGTGTGTGTGTGTGTGTGTGTGTGTGTGTGTGTGTGTGTGTGTGTGTGTGTGTGTGTGTGTGTGTGTGTGTGCGTGCGTGCGTGCGTGCGGCGTGCGTGCGTGCGTGCGTGGTGTGTGTGTGTGTGTGTGTGTGTGTGTGTGTGTGTGTGTGTGTGTGTGTGTGTGTGTGTGTGTGTGTGTGTGTGTGTGTGTGTGTGTGTGTGTGTGTGTGTGTGTGTGTGTGTGTGTGTGTGTGTGTGTGCATCCTTATTTATTCGATAAATACGGAAACCTGTCTTACCGTGCACAGTCCTATCAAGCACAGGCGTGCTGCGCATGCCTACACATAGAGCTTACTCATTTTCTGCAGATTACTTCAAGTGCCGTGATTTTCAGGCTAAGTGATCCGAAACAGCAGGCAAAATAAACTTGAGTTGGCTGCCAGCAACCGTCAAAACCAAACAATGACTTGATTCCCAGCATATGTATTCACGGCTAGCCGGATGGGTGATATTATCAGCTGATGGCTGATGGCTGATGCCTGATGCAGAATTTTTTTTTGTTATTGATAAGGACAACATATCAAAGCATTCAAATTACGTTAAGAACATGATGCACTAGTAAAATAAATGTTACACACTCAATAGCCAGTGGAAATGATACGACGTCAGCGGCATGTAAAATTATGTTCGGCCACTGCGCGTGCAAACTCATCGGCGCATATTCGACTGCTGCTCTAAGGCGCAGGCACCAAGGCTAAAAGGGACGGAGCCTGAGCGATCTGAGTGCCGCAGGAGGCCAGGCCAACGAAGCGACTTTTGTTCACAAGTATAGGGCCCTCAGAGCAAGCAAAACGAACGCAAGACAAACGTGGTGGGTCCCCAAACGATCGGTAGTGCCCCGGCAGGCTGACGTATAAGGCCTCGGCCATAGCACAGGATTCTCCAAGCAAAAGGGAATTATCAAAGACCGTGAATTGATACCCCTGTGAGATCAAGAGTGTACAGGCAGGTTAACAATACGAGCCTCGATAGGAATGAAGAGCCCTCCGCAAATGGGACGAAAGGAAGAGAGACCTTGATCAAAGTAGAGGGCCCCTGAGCACCGAGTGTCTCCGTGCCTTACCTTATAAGAGCCCTAGCAACAGCATAAGGTCCTCCAAGTAAGTGGAAAGAACCCGATACGTACATGAAGGGCACCTGGGGAACTGTGTGCACCCTGACATAGACACCCCGGAAAAGGTATATAGAGCCTTTCGGACGAATGGGAAGAATCCGTGGAGGAAAACCTGATCGATCAACAGCGCTCAGGCATGGAGGCAGATAGCATCCCAACAGCACATTGAGCCCTACGAGAAAATGCGATGAGATCAAGGACAACGTGGAAAGCTTCTTAGCGATCAGACTGACCCAACAAGTGGACATATAGGGCCAGGCAACCAACAGCGTAATTAATGCCTCTGGACAGCGTAATGAGCCCCCAAATTTCCCCAAAGCAACATTTCCTCAATCAGCAAAGAATGAACTTCGTCTACTTATGAGCTCCTTTCTTTTGCTAACAATGGTTATTGATCGTCTGTAGGCCCAAAGGCGTCCATTTTTTTTCGCTTTTTTGTCAGAAAACTACATCTGTCCGGCGGGTTATGGGTCCCTTCGGAGCCTTTAGGTACCATCGGCATGGCCCATGGGGAATGGTCCCGTGCCTCTCCTCCCCCAACCTCCACCCCCTTTGCATCCACCACCGGCCCGAGCAACTGAATAGATGGGGCCCGCCAAGAACATAAGGCCATCCACTCGAATAAGAAATACTCACGATGCAATGTGCAGGGCTCTGAACGATCGAGCGCGCCAGAACAGGTTAACACATAGGGCACCCGTCAAGAGCGTGAGGCCCTCCATTCAAATAGGAAGCACCCAAGACCCGTTGTAGAGGGCCCCCGAATGATCGAGTGTGCCCGAGCAGGTTAACAAGTAAGGTTCCCAAAAAGAGCGTAGGGCCCTCCATTGAAATAAGAAGTAGCCGAAAACCCAGTGCGGAGAGCCCGCGAAGGATGGAGCATCCCGAGCAGATGATCAGGTGGCTCAGACAGGAGCGTTGGGCCCTAAATTCAAACACCAAGACCCAATAAATAGGCCCCGAACAATCTAGTGTGACCGAAGCGGCGAACAGATGGGGTCCCCGACAAGTGTGTAGGGTCCTCCATTCAGATAGGAAGTACACAAAACACAATGTGCAGGGGCCCCGGGATATTCGAATGCTCGAGCAGGTCAACAGATGCCCCGGTAAGAGCGTAGGACCTTCCGTTCAAATATGAAATACCCACGACACGACGTAGAGGGCCCCGAATAATCCAGTGCGCCACAGCAGGTTGACAGACAGGGTCCCTGGAAAGAGCGGTGGGCCCTCCATTAAAAAAATAAGTACCCAAAACCAAATGTAGAGACCCCCACGATCAAATTGGCCCAAGCATCTTACCAGACGGGGCCTCTACAGGGGTGTATGCCCTCCATTCAAATAAGAAGCACCAAAAACCCGATGCGGAGGGCCCCGAAAGATCGAGTGTACCCGAACAGGTTGTTTTAGATGACCCGGATGGGAGCAGGGGGCCCTAAATTCAAACACCAAGAACCAATGTGCAGGGCCCGCGAGCAATCCAGTGTGGCCAAGGGGGAGAACAGTGGAGGCCCCCGACAAGGCGTAGGGCCCCATTCAAATAGCACGTGCCCAAGGCCCAATGTAGAGGGCCCCAAAACGATCAAATGTGCCTGAGCAGGTTATCAGATAAGCCCCCGACAAGAGCGTAGGCCTCTCCCATTCAACTAAGAAGTACCCAAGACCCAATGTGGAGGACCCCGAATGATCGAGTGTGCCCGAGCAGGTTAACAGATAAGGTTCCCAAAAAGAGCGTAGGGTCCTCCGTTCAATTCGGAAGTATTCAAGACCCAATGCAAAGGGCTCCTGAATGATCCAGTACGTGCGAGCAGGTTTGCATATAGGGCCCCCGTCAAGAGCGTGGGGCCCACCATCGAAATAGGAAGTACCCAAGACCAAATGTAGGGGGCCCTCACATGATCGAGTGTGCCCGAGCAGGTTAACAAAAAGGGTCCCCACAAGAGCGTGGAGCCCCCAATTCAGAAAAGAAGTACCCAAGACCCAGTGTGGAAGGTCCCCGAACGACTGGGTGTACCCAAGCAGGCCGTCAGATGCGCCCCCAACAAGAGTGTAGGTCCCTAAGCAAGTGACAGAGAATTGGAAACGCCCTAGACCAATGTAGAGGGCCAATGAACTTGTCGCGAGCGTGCCGGTAGGTTAACCGAGACCCACGTAACGGGCCCCTGAGCAACCGAGAATACCCCGGCAGGTTAAGATATGGGACCTCGGCTATAGCTCACAGGAACTGTCTGGCGAAAAGAAAGAATCAGTGGAAGGGCCTGTGATTGACAATAATGCCCCGGAACGCTAGCAAGAAGAGTCCCAACAACGGCGCAGGGCCCTCCGAGAAAATGCAAAAAAAAATTAAGGGCAACGTTGAATGCTCCTTAACGATCGAAATGATTCTGCAAGTGGGCATATAGGGCCCCCGGAAACGTCATGGGGCTCCTATACAGTGTAATAAGGCTTCAAATTTTCAGCTCACAAGTTTTCCAATCATTGAATAACTTTTTTTACTTCTCATAGGCCCTTTACTTTCACCTATACCTGTTCTTGGTCGCCTGAAAGTTCAGACGCCCAGTTTTGTTGCATTTTGTGTTAAAAAAAACTGCACCTCTTCGGCCGGCCATGCGCCCCCTCGGAGCCAATGGGCCCCTTCGGAGCCCAAGGGGGGGGGGGCATAGCCCCGTGGCCCCCTTTTGGATCCTGCCCCCTCCCCTCCTCCCCCTCCAGGCGCATGCGAGCCCCCCGCACCGTTAACCAATTTCATTCATCCCATAGTCCTGAAATGATCATTTCTGGTCGAAAGGGTTCTAAACCAAAAAATCAAAACCAAACCGGGTCAGGTATGGGGCACCCAATGGTGTACGTCGCCCCTGATGGCAAGCAGAACCTACCAAAGGCAGCCTTCAAAGTTCGTACCGTAAGCGAAGGGCTTCCAAAAAGGCTTAAGGGCTTTTAATAAAGCTTTCAGACCCACCAAACCACCGACCACCCCCTCCAGACCCACATCCACCTATCTACGCGCACAAACACCGCCCCACGACCCACACCCCAACACCCACGCGGCCGACTAGACCCTAAATGCCCGCCTTTCTCGAGTTACCAAAACAAATCGAACATAACAAGGTAAAACGAGACACGCACCCTCGTCGCATTTGCGTCAGTTTCAACTACTGATGTGACGATGTTCCCACAAGACCAAAAAACAATAACGTCAATGTGCTCCAAAATGCCACAAGCTTTATGCATTAAATATATATCAATAGACAGATATATCTTGTTTGTTTATATACATGTCAGGTATTTTTTCACCATACAGCACCAAATGCATAGCAAAAACAAACTATGATGTGCTCAAATTTGCAGTGTAATTGGAGCAGCTTTCGCAAGTTTTTTACAACGATAGCTTACTACCTTTGCCACAACAAGGGGTGGATTTGGGGGATTGTGTTAGAACGGTGTGTTGTACTGTGATTGGATGGCGACTGCGTACAATTGCGCTGGTTTTGTCAGCATTCTGTCTGCTTATATGAATACATAGCAGTCTAGTCACTCAAGTTTGTCAAGGTAAGCGTTGAGGTGGACCCCGTTCACATCACAAGCGTCTTGTACCAGGCTACACCTGATTTCGATGCGATGATGCGAAGCATGTCATGTGTGTTGGGATCGGACCATACTCGAAGCCACTTTTTGATTCTGAGTACACTCTTGGGTTTGTGTTCTGTTCAATGTTAGGCCTGTGTCAGTGGTAGGGGAAATGGCCTCACAAACTACTTAATTCTTGGCAGGGCCACCCATTTAAGGTGAGAAATTGTCATTCCTGCCAGAGGCGGTAAAATACAGGATGATCAAAGCTCAGTCTTCTTCTTGCCCAGTTATTTTTTTGGTATGTGTGACAAATTTCTGCAAGGGTACTTTTGGGATTTAACTGTTCAAGCCCTCATCTTATTACCTTGTATAGCAATTGCAGTTAAGCTGGATTTCCAGACCCTTTCAGATGTACTGCAGATGCAAGATGTTTTTTTTGTAATTCAAGATATGTGTTGTGCAGTAGAATATCATGTTTTTTTCTGAATTTCAGTCAGAAAACTTGGTGCACTTTCTGCCACAACCATGTTGTATTTATTTATAAATAGGAGCTGCATGCACAAGTATTCTCACAGTGTGGTCTGTAGTATTTCAATGGCATCATTGTTTACTTCTGTTAGCGATGTTTATCACTGTCTTAATGTCTTACCGCCAAATCTTTAGAAGCCTGTATAAGCAGAAGAGCTTGTATGGGCTGTTCCTTAGCCTTTGATGAGATGGAGGATGGCCACTTGGTGTTTACTTTTAAAATTTGGTGGTTAAAATAGGAAAACTGAAAAAAAAAATGGCAGATCTGTGCTTGTTTCAATGTCTACCACCTCATAACATTGGGCCCCAAGCACCCAATGTCACGCCTGATCAATGGCAATCAGGGCTGCTCTAAATCTAACTAGATGTGTGTGCCTGTAATACAAATCATTGCAGAGCATGCTTAGACCATGCATGGACCTTTTTGCCACAGCAGCTCGCCCACTGCAGCCTGGTGATGGGCCAGATGGTGTCAGCCCCACTGACAGATGCAGTCACGCGAGTGCGGGACGGCGTACTGCGCCGCACGGCTCCCCTGCAGGAGGTCACCACCATCCCCTATGACCAGCTGCTGCAGCACGTCGACGAGCTGAACACGCTCTGCGCGCACCTGCGGGACGAGAGCGGCAAGCGGCTGCGCTTCCGCGTGGACGAGTCGTCGGCGGTGTCGCCCGTGTTCTGGCGCGGCACGGTGCGCGTCGTCTGCGAGAAGGTGAGCGCCGCCGACGAGCCCGAGGGGAGCCGGCCGCTCACGCTGCGCCAGTTCCTGCAGGCGCGCGCCACGCTGGCGCAGCAGTACGCCTGGCTGGCGGCGGTGCCGCGCGCGCAGCTGGGCACCGCGGCGCTCACCTCGTCCCGCCTGCTGGACCAGCTGGACGCCGACGACGGCTGCTGCTGCATCTGTCTGGAGCGGGCGCCCGACGCCTCGCTGCCGTGCGCCCACGCGTACTGCACGGTGTGCATCGAGCAGTGGAACCCGACGCACAAGACGTGCCCGATGTGCCGCCAGGGCGTGGACAGCACGGACGAGGCGTGGGTGATGGCGGACGCGCCCGGCGGCTCCCAGCTGCGCCAGGACGTGGTCAGCGGCGTGATGCGCCTGGCCACCGACGATCGGTAGAGCTCCCGAGTAGCGACAGATCGCCCAGACAGTGAAGGAACAGAACGTGCGGTGCCGGTGGGCCTGCGGGCTGCGCAGCTGGGCGCCGACGCTATGTGTGGCTCGTCGAACAGACCCAAAGCCGTGAGCGGTGTGGGACGTGTGGGCATTGGAGCGGAGACGCAACGCGCGTCCGGCAACGGCCAAAGTGCCAACGTGGGGGCCTAGGATCGTAACCCAAGCTTTAGAGGTTTACTTGTGTCCGCTCTCGCAGATGCGTTCTGTAACCAAACGTTTTCAGGAGATCCAGTAACGTACGTCGGACGAAACCCCTGAATTACCACGCTTATCAGATTGCATGTGCTGGGGTTCATCCGACGATAACGCGCCTCGGTTTGAGCGTTGTATGCATATTGCGCTGCTGCGTGTGTTGGGAGCAGCTGGGTTAGTGTGAAGATAGAGAGGATTCGGGCTGCGCACGCTTCAGCTGGCGCGCTATATAGTGGATAGGTCAGTAATCACGCGTGTGACGACATAATGGTGTGTGCCCATTTTACGGCATCCGACAATAATGGAGCGTTACATCGGGTTGACAGGATATATTTCGGAGAGCTGCGTTTTGCCGTGTTAGTGCTTTCAGAGATTGCGTGATATCGCCTCATGTGGAGGGCGGAACCGAAGACAGGGCATGTGTCGCTGGGGAGCGGTAGGCAAGGTCCCAAAACATGACAGGCTTCATCTATATTAAGTCGTGCGATATGGAAATGGGAATGGGGAACGACATGCTAGCATCAGCTTGCATCGTTACTGCTGATCAGGAGACAGGCATTCAGAGTGGGTGTTTACCACCTGTAAATTAAATTTCCCTTCTTTGTCAGCAGGCCTTCCGTTTGTTTCATCCAAAAATATTTACGTTTCCTGTCGTCCGCAGGGTTCCACACCTCAATGCCACACGTGTTCCGCGGCACTGGTCCGTCACTTTGTTGAACCTCCGTGGGATGGAATCCAGATAATCTTGGATGCATTCGCGTGAAAGCTGGAACTCTTGACGCAATGTCAAGCATTGTGATACTTTGCGCCTAGTTGCTGTTCGTTGTATGGCAGGTCCAATGCGGTAGGCATTCGCTCTTTTCGTCATAGGTTTTATGCTGGCATCTGATGTCTTGCCACGTCGTAAGCGGTTCACTATTGTGTTCAAACAATTAATAAATATGTTGTCTACACGTCTTTGCATCATAGCGCTTGCAGAGCGATCCCTGATGGCCGTAATGACCAAGGGTCGAGCGCGGGAACATTTCACCAGTGAAAGCCTTCAGACTGAACGACGCATCATAGAATGGTCAACTTATGTCCGCTCGATATACATGAGCGTTATGGCGAAGTTGTGATAAAATATGGCTGTGGGGATGAAATGTGCGACTCGGTGGCACAGGGCTGCGAGCTGTGTCGGAGCGAACCGATCGTCGGCCGACGACGGCGGCCGGCGACTTGACAGCGGACTATTGGTGTTTTCGTCCCTGGTCTCCTTTCAGTGTCGGGATATTTCATAATCCATTATTTAAGTTCAGGCACTAGAGCGCGTTGGGTTTTAAGATGACGGTTTTCCCTCCGCACCAACTGCATCCTGATTGTTTAAAGCAGTGAAAGGTCGCATACAAATGGGAAACATTCCCGAAGTCCAGACAAATGCAAAACATTCGCTTTAGCATCCGTAACTTTTCCTCTATCGAAATGTTCTACACGTTTCGATCGTGACGGACGCTGTTTTTTTTCCGTTACGCTTCAATTGACTGCACTGGTGCCGTTTTAATGCGCTGGGGGCGTGCCGTATCATGGGCGACGTGAGGAGAAAGTAAGAACGTGGTCTGGCGACTCGCTTAGATTTCCCAGTGAGAAATGTCCAGCCTTGATTCGGTAGCGTTTTCAGCTCACGAGATCACGTTTTCAGACAGACAGCTTTTGAAATATCGAAGGAAATGTTTCCACTGGTTGTTATATTTGTTGTTGATTGGTGTGTTCGGGCGCGCCGACTGCGGTGGTCATTTGGCGCCCACCACCGGTTGCTATACATCTTCTCACACGATGCGTTGTAAATGCGTTGTAATAAATGCGTTGTAAAAAAGGCTGCCAAAACGATAGTCATGCCCGCAATAGACCTTGTCGGCACTGACATACCATGCCCATGAACAACTGAATTCGATTTGTTTTAGGAAAAAGTTAATCCTGGTTAACATCACGACACCAAACGAGTTAGACCTTGCAGGATCTAACTCACGCCTTTCACCGCAGCGGTCTCGGTGGATCTATATGCGGTGTTCTAGGAAGCATATAGTACCAAGAATAACGCCAAACTGCTACCAAAACTGCTTATGATGCAAATAGACATTCCGTGCAATATCGTAAGTGCGAGCGACATCGGTGAACGACAGAGCTTTAAATGAACCACAGAGCAACATCTAAATGGACAGGTCGCGCCGGGCCGTCATGCCTTCCGGGAGCTGACATCCGTGCAACCGCTGCTCGCGATTCCACGCTGGTCACAGTAGCCAAAGGTGCAATTCGCAGACGCTGTGAAGAATAAAACTGAATGAGGGGCATAGCTTACAAGCTACTTGATGAGCATAATTTCACCGTAATTGTTATGCAAACAAAATGTGTGCTTCCCGGCTATGCCAACTGTAAAAACTAGACAATACTGCTAACGACGCAAAAGCCTTTTGCCACGCGTGAAAACCGGGCGCGGTTTCTACGTCCCGGCGCTGCGGCGCCAAAGATCAGCGACATCTGATGGACAATCGCGCCGCTGATCGTACCGCAATGTGGTTCGATGTGCTCGGCCAGTCATGCCCACGCGCTCGGGCTCTGCTGGTTTTGTTGTTTTTTTGGGGGGGTGGGCGATTTGGAATGGTAGCACACCTCGGCAACCGAGGCAGATCGTACGTCAAATGTAGTTCCCACAAATCAGTAACTGATCTGAAGGTTACTTGAGCCGCAGGTGCGTCAGTTCCCAATCGAGAACAAAACGGCCGACGTCGCCTTTTCGAGGCCTGTCTCAGACACATTACGCTCTGGACTAAAAAAAAAACTGCACTTGGAACTATGTAGGCGCGTTACCAGCTCCCTGTGACTTATATACGTCACCAATGCTTCAGTGCTTTCCCGACAATACCAGCACGTCACCAAAAACGTGCCCTGCAAACCCATAGATGTCGACTGAAGGTGCCTGGTCTCGCCCGACCCAGTCCGCCACTTCTCACGCGGTCCGATTTGTAGCTCAGCGCGGAAAGGACACCAAACGGGACCTGCCGCTCCCACGAGAACCAGACGTTCCAACGCACTGATCGGTACGACCCGCGTGGGTTTCCAAATGTGATGATGATGGAGGTCATGCAGCGCTCAGGACTATCACGCTACGCAGCGCCGCAAAGCAAGCCGGTTTATCAAACAAGTCACCCTGTAAGGTCTTGACGAGGTCCTGGGAGTCAATCATGGTATTATGGTGAAAAGATGACTGAAAACCCTACATCAGACACTGGAAAACTCGACCAGCATCGACAACACGCGAATCATCCCCTAAAAAGTCATTCAGTGTATGACTCTGAGCGTTGTGTCCAACAAATGCACTCATGTTACAGTCCGGTGACCACAAGCGACGGGCACATGACGCAGTCAGCGGGTCACAGCATCGACTGCTGCGCGATCTTTCGACAGCTCAAAACAGGTGGCAGTGCCTAGCATGCATGGCCTATGCGCAGCCGGCAAATGGCAATGTCCTTTCCACTGTCGCGAAAACACGGCTGCCTTAGCCCGATACCAGGTTTGAATGACTTCAACTTGTTAACGTTCAGCGCATCTCAGTGGTACTGCCATCGCTCCTGTATCACCGATGACACTGCAGGGTACTTGTCTTGAGCTGGTAGAGGTGTTACAGGAATGCGTGTGCCATTCGTAGCGCACTTTGCTGCTGCGTAGGTAAGAGCATTTCCGCAGGTCCCTACGTGATTCAGAATCCAGCACAGTACGACCACTTTTCCTGCCTGACCCAGTGACAAGACGCGACTGAATGTCCTGGACCAGTGGGCTAGACGTGTAAAAGTCGCAGACAGCCAGGAGGTTGCTCAGGGAGTCCGAAATAATCAAATGTAATTCACTATACCACACTTCTATAAAAGAAAGCTTTGGCTTCGAGCTTTGACGAGAAAACCGGCGTGTGTGCACGTAGCGTGAAGGACCATGTTACGGAGCCAAATGCAAAAACGCAGCCTACACATGCACCCGCCTTGGAATCATCCGCATAAGCCGTCAGGCATCCGTCAAGGAAGGCTATGTGCTCTGATGCTCCGTTTTGAAGTTCCACCGTGAGCACATGCCGCCTTCTTAAATTTGGTAACGAAGCATCCGCGCTTCGCAGCGTGAGATCGCAAGAAGCGGTATCTATAGAGTTTAAGTCTGATGACACATCGTTAATTCAAGCCGCTCACGCCTATATGTCCTCGCACTCGTGAACAAAAATGAGAAGTTTGTCGCGACCGCTGAAGTAGCATCTAAACGCAAATTGTTGCCCGTCTGGTACCATTTTGCTCACCCAAAGCCACATCATGTGTCTTACTGGCATGTACTACGCTCACTACGTTTATCGTCTTCGCGACATTGGCGAACACCGTCGCCGCCTTGTAAAACAGATGCTTTGGTACACGCACTCGACCGAGAATTGATCGCCGTCAACCACCAGCAGCACCACTAGCAAGGCTTGATTGATGGCTGTTTTCATGTTCCAAAATTATATTAGAATGATTTTTAGCGGATCATTGGCGGACACGTTTATCGTCTTTGCGACTGGAGGGTTAGGCTCTTGGAAGGGAATATCCGAGTTGCTCCTTGTCGCAGTGCAACAAACCAAGCCCTTACATTGTTTGCGGTTGGCCATATAACATAACCAGGCGTAGCCCACAGATGACGGAATCGCGCATGACTACAGTGAAATCCTCATATGCTTCCCCCACCGGCCGTTTACACTCGGGAGTCTCGCGAGCGCATGTATTACAGCTCTCACCAGGTCCGAACAGCGCAGATCAATCCTCAGTGGCCGGCGCCGTGATCACAACCGGCTGGGTGGGCACGTGGAGGGAGGCCATCTTGCGGTACACCTGGGAGGCGATGCGGTCCAGGTCACGGCGGCCCTGGTTGGTGAGCCGCCGGCCGCCCTCGGGCGTCTTCTCCACCATCCTCAGCGCCTCCAGCTGCTGCACCGCCTTCCGCAGATGGTTGCCGTGGCACACCTGGAAGTGGTTGGGTCGCACGCCGTTGCGCTTGCGGCCGCCGAAGATCTTGCGCAGTGCGCCGATGCCGGCGTTGGGGCGCATGTACAGGTGGCGCGCGATGGACGCCGTCCGGATGTAGAACCAGTCGCGGTCGTAGGGTGCCAGCTCGCGCGCAATCGACGTCTTGACAATGTCGGCCCAGTCGGGAACCTTCACCTTACCCGACCTGCAGAGAGCAGAAATGTCAGTCAGGCAAGCACTCACAGCCAACCCCAGCATATGAGCAGGTGCAATGAACAGATGAATTCAAAACTATGTTGAACACATGCATACTATTGCAATGGAGACATCAGTGACTTGCACCACAAAAAGTGGCAGTCCATGACTTTAAAATGGAACTTAAGTAGCAAAAACATTGTTTATGAACTAGTACAGGGGCAAGTACATGAATAAAACTTACTTCTTCAGGAATGCAGCCATGTCAATGACAAACTGCTGCTGATCAACATCTTTCACCCCTGTGCAAGGCATCTGGAAGACAGAACACATTGTTAAAATCGAAGCAACATTATGGACAAGCAGTACACATCACTTGCTAGGAAATCCTTTGATGGGATCTAGCCACTAATCTACTTGCATTTCTTAAACTGAAAAGATGGCTTTCATTCTGAAAAATAGCTCCAGCAAATCTCACAGACCAACTGCAAAGTCACTATAGTCACTTTGTATGTCCCCTCTTCAACTGCATCATTTGGCACTGACCAGCGGATGGGTCCGCCCCCTCGCCAAATCAGCAGGACAAGAGCACCTGCCTACCAACCCCCCCCCCCCCCCTGGCAGTCCAAATCATGGTGTGAACTTCTAGTTTAACTCTCGCTGGGGTGACCCATGCCTAGTTGTTGCTCAAGGTTGATATGGTTAAGCAGGTGGTGCATAAAGTGCAAAGCATTGTGGCATGCATAACTCTTGAACCAAATCCTGATGAACAGGAGTTTATCAAATGTATGGTGCCCACCATACATGTGTGGTATATTCTACACAATGTCCATTTTTGATAGTTTTAAATGAAGCTTTAATAAAAGCACTATTTTTAGAGAATTAACATAACTTACTCATCAATAATGATTAATTCAGCCTATACATGGAGGTACATGTTAGTGTGACATCACCTACTTTCATATCAACTTTATTGTGTTACAATGATTTCTATGTGCAACCCAGAAACGCTGAATTGTGACACACATAAGATGTTCTCTGTGCTTCTCTCTGGCTGTCGAGAGATGCTGTTGTTTTGAGTGCTGACCCGACCCGGTGTCGTTGTTGGACAGTAGGTGGGCTGAACGTGTGCTGGCGAGCAGCAGCAGACCCGGGCACCGAGTGCATTGCAAGGAAACATGGTGTGTGATATGGTAGAGATTTGGCTGTAACCCACCAGCAGTGTCCCTTGTTTAGTTGTGCGTGTGGCGCGCAATGCTGTCAAGGTTTCAGGAACAGCTTGCCTTAATCTGACGTCCCTAACAGAGAACAATTTTTTAAATTCTTCCCCATACATATTTGTGGAGAACAAAATGTCTTGGTGCTAAAAACACCAAGAAATGCCCAAGTTTCAGATACTGATGGAGGGTCATGATTCAAATCTGCTCAGCATGATCTTTGATCTCAGAAAGCTATCAATTGAAAAAGGTGGACTATATTCCCTTTTTAGAATAAAAAAATATCACCAGCACTAAACACCAGTCCCTGTACTCAATGCCCTTCCAAGAAAACTGGCTTGCACAGAACAACACTTGAATTGAATTGGACATTTGTATATACCACACATCTACACACAATGAAAACAGCAACACATGTTTTGGGCAACACATCACATCTTTTCATCACCAGTGATAGGTCTTGGACAATAATACCGACTGCTTTGTAATCTATCCTGTTACAACATTTATTACCCTGAAACATGGATCAACCATCCAGAAGATTTGACACATCCAGAGGCATTTAGTGTAACCCAAATATTATCTTTGGTAAGATTTTTGTTGTCTGGTGACTGTTAACACCAAAAGGCAAAGAAAATATAGGGTGTGACATCTAGAATGATGTGGTGATGTGAAAGAATGAAATTTCTTGTCATCCTGCTGTGAATATACCTGATCGTTTCTTCGCCGTCATGTTTCTGTACCGCCACCTATAATTTGCATGATTTTATCAGTGGGGAAAAAGACAGTGTGTATGGTTTGGCTGCAACATGGCCACCACAGTCAACTCACCAGGAAACCCAAATAAACAACTACAAGTGTGTAAAGGGCAATGTAACAGGTAGGCTGCATACAAATAAAAATGTTGCAGCATTACTATGTTGGGCAAAGTATATGAGCAGCATGGAACAATGAGCAAGGTATTATACATACCAAAAAACTCATTCATAAATAGAAGCATTGGGAAAACCATTCAAAACCACATGTGCCCAGATCGTAAATATGAATCCTGGATCTTATAGGGCCCTATAGCCATGGTACCTTGGGACCTTCGACTTTTTAAAAATTCAGGCACATGTCTAATTCAAAATATGGTCCAAGAATGTATAAGCACTGACTCCCTACATTCAGGCATCAACAAATCTCAGGGGTTATAGGCAAAACCCACTCTTGTAAACATTTTGTAGAACAGAACAGCATGTAGAACATTTATCTCTAATAGACCATTTCTGGCTATACCAATTTATAAGATACCCAGACAGGTTTCATATTCTGTCATGACTATCAAGCATCCTATGCAGGTCAGATGATCATGTACACCAGATGACAAAAAAACAGTACTTCTAGCCAGGCTGCAAAAAAGCTGCATGTTGAACATGTTCAGCATGTCAGGAACACCTCAGCAACAATTCATGTGCCTGTCAATTTTAATACTAGTGTTCTGAGGTTGGTGCATGGTTACTACAGATTTCAGAGCATGTGAGTCAATATTTCAAGAAATAATGCTACAATGGTACTTCAGGCTGTTATGCTAATAAAATGTTTCATCATAGCATGATCTGACAACAGTATCTGAAACTTACCTTTGGCTCTTGGGGGAGAGAACAAAAATACTAAAATCATGGCTTGTAGTGAGGCAATACATTCACAGCTGGCACTAAAAGACATTCTCTGGCAGCAGATGACAGTAAACACCATGCTCAAGTTGGTCTCAGTAATTGCCAAAGATCATTAGAAATTGGCTGCTAGCAATTCCTAAACTTTCTAGCTTCCTAAGCAAATGCTTCCTTCTGCGCTTCTCCCCGGTGGGTCGAGACACTGTTGTTTTGGGTGCGGAATCAAGCCTGATGTGTGAACACATAGGTGTCATTGGGTGGTAGGTGACTTAAACATGTGCTGGTGAGCAGCAAAAGGCCTAGGCACTGAATGCATTGCGAGAAAAATAATGTGTGATATGGTAAAGAGATTCGGCTGTACCCGCAGGCAGTATCCCTCGCTCAGTTGTGAGTGTGGCAAGCAATCCTGTCAAGGTTGCAGGAACAGCTTGCCCCCATCTGACATTGCTCACAAAGAACAATTTTTTAAATTCTTTCCAGCATATATTTGTGGAGAACAAAATGTCTTGGGGCTAAAAACACCAAGAAACACCCAAGTTTCAGACACTGTCTGTCAACCACGCATAATTCAGCCAAGCCTAAGTTTGACACACATAGGTCTAAGTTTGACACACATGGGCCCTAGTTTGACATACATGGGCCCTAGTTTGACACACATGGGCCCTAGTTTGACACACATGAGCATTAGCTGCACACAGATGTTCCCTATGAATCTGGTGGTGAATACATTTCAGAGGACTGCACTTCTGGTAATCAATTGTGCAATGCTAGCAGCCACAGTGGTAATAAAAGCATTGCATCTACAACAAAATGTTTCAAAGAGCCTCACATTCCCAGTGAAGTGGCACGTTGGCAACCAATTTCATTTCATTTTGTGTTCAATAGTAGTCACACAGCATTTTATGCCATCTCCAAAATCCACATAGTGGCACACTTCCAAGACCAAAGTACAGAACAGCTATGTAACTTCCCAAAGAACCTCATATTTTCTATAACAGTGTGCCCAGCACATCCTTCAGATTGGACACACAAAATGGACACAAAAAAACAAACTGGCACCCCTTTCAGAACACGTTGTGCTGAGATACATCCTGACCTCACCACAACAAGACACTGAGACAGATTTAATCTGTTGCAAGGTAATGGGCAATCTATAATATGAGGTTAAAAGGTAATATGCAGTCACGGTCGCATTCGCCAACCCAACTATGGCCTTTTACCACTTTCACAAACACCGCAGAACGATGCTCCAACGGTTACTGCCCCACATAAAATGTACACAACTATTTGAGGAGAAACACTTGTGCATTGGCAATAGCATACACGACAAAATGCGAGGCATATATCACCAACACATGTAACTAGCATTCCGAGCTCCAAACGTACCTTGCCTGCCTGCAGACCCTGCAAACCAAAGGAAGATCGGCAAATGCTGACAGCGTTGCTGCATTATATTTTTCTTAAGGTGGGGTAATCGGAGTATTGTATACAGATCTATGGTTACTTTGTGGGTTAAATAGCTATAAAATATTTCTTTGTAGCTAAGAATAATCAGTAAGTTGATTCAAAACGTATAAATGAGACGTTTATAGTTGAGATTTGGAAGAAACTTTTGGCTTAATATACTGAACTGGGATTTTTGGTGGTAGAAAACCAAATTTTAAACTAGGACTGAAAAATATTCCGTATCTGTTGTCAAAAGTTAACGGTCAAAGTGGCGCATCTGTGTCAAACGTATTTGTTTTGGGGGAGGGACCAGAGAGACTGAGCGGCCAACAGCCTCTGTTCGGAGCCTATGCGACTGGTCGGCTGCAAACCTTCACCATTCGATTCCACTTGGTCGATAATTGACTCGCCCCAGAACATAACGACCTCCGGGCAGGTAAAGGATCAAGAAAATATCACAAATTGGGCAAATCAGCTCATGCAATTCTACGCTCCGAGGGAAAAACTTTCACCATTTGATGCACAGTGGTCAATATCCTTCGTGATCCAGAATATAGTGGCCTTGGGTAACGTGAACCAAATACCCTAGAAGCACCTGAGGCGGTTGCAGAAAGCCGCATGCTCCCAGTCCATGAAACCGACCGATACAAATCCGACCGACACAACCAACAAATCCGACCGACCGACACACAAATGCGTTACCAATCGCGCTATGGTCAATAGTCTGTCTTTCCCAGAACATGGGTACCTTCAGTTCGGTCGAAGGCCTAGGAGACTGGTCTGCACGAAACCCTTGACCATCATGCACCATGGACGATAATATATGCTTTACATCAAATGCTGACCTTGGGTCAGGTCCAAAGTCACTAAAAATACCCAAAATCACAAAAGTTGACTACAGTTAACCCATTATTCGAGCCCATGGAGCTGAACTGAACCAGTATGGAACTGAAAAGATGGAGTCGAACACAAGTCTGGATGTCTTTCTGGAAGTTTTTTATATTTTTTTCACTCAGTGTTCTTATTTGGCTTGTTTGCATTGAGGAAACAGGGGAGCATTGAGGGGGGTTCAGGGGAACATTTAGTATCTGGAAGGGGGTCAAGATAGCACTGGGGACGGGACGGCTCAGGCTCCCTTTCCATTGCCAACCTAATATTCTGAAAGCACCTAAAATGACGTTCCTGACAGCGATTTTCGTTCCCAGAGAGGTTGCCCTCATAGTGGCGATGGTTCAGGGGGAGGGGCGTGTCATACTATAGATAGAACGCTAAAATCCCCTTTGACCATGGGACCCATTGGTACGGAGATAGCCGAGGGGCTCATTGCCTTCCGTGCTCGATCACGGGAGCTATTTATGATGAAAACCTTTGTACATCTTCAGGTGATATATTCCCTGAGGATAATTCTGATGACGTTCGGGTTCCTGCCATACAAACAGTGGCGCAGGCCGGGAAGGCACAGGGGCATGCGCCCTCCCCCCCCCCCCCCCGCCCGTTCATAAGGGGCCTGGGGGCTTGTCGCGGGTTGTAATAGGGGTGCTGGGCCATCGAACCGGGCCCCCAAATGCCATTCAAACGGCTCTTTGCGCCGATGGCGGGCCCCTGCGCCGATGAGGGCCTCTTTGTCGACCAGACATCACCAGTACCAAACAGACGGCCTGGGCCTGAGTGCCCACTTCCCAATTAGGGGCAATGCTGGGCCCGCAATTTACAATGGTTGGGCCCCTGAGTCGATGAGGGGCCCGGTCGGTCAGGGCCCACAGTGCTTAGCATGGAGTCTCGTGTTGGTAAGGGGTCCCGAATCGGCCAGAGGCCACCAGCACCGAACAGCTGACTCTGTGGCGGTATGAGCCCTGGAGGCCATTTCTCGGGCATGAACAACAAGAAAAGGCTGTGTCATATTTGCCTAGACCGTCCTTCCTTTTGCAGAATCTACTTGTGAAACAGATAACATGCAAACTTTTAACCCCGCGCGTTCTCAACCTAGTAGAAAGAACAACTATGACCCGGGTCACAATTTCCGTAAAATCGACCAGTGCTGACCGCTGCACTGAGCACCAGGCAACGGGCGCAGGGTGCGAGAACGACCGTCGTGAAATAATGTTTTTGAAAGTCTTTCAAAATCAATGCGTACTATCCAGACATTGGACCTTCAGCTATATAATTTTGAAGCCGTCTCCTCTGAATAGCTCAGCAGTTACAGCAACACGAAAAATGGATATTCTAGCTTCATTTTTCCAGTTTCACCACCAGATTGTGGCACCAGTTCGCAGAGCTGTCAATGCTGGCACGTTCCTGTTATAAATATAAGTCAAATATGAAAATCACGCAGATGAAACGCTCGCCACGACTGCCTTCTAACTGAATGAACTAATGTCATAAGGCGTTCAACGGTGCTTTTTCAGATGCTAATTGTTTTAGGCCGCCCGTTGATGGTCGCCTGGTGTCAGCGCCGGGGCCAACGCGTCGGCCAGCGTCGGCAGCGCGGCACTGCGACGCCGCAGGAGACAGCAACGCCCGGCGTCGGTTTTGCTTCGACTTGGGACCGCGCATATTTAAAATGATAGCAATAATTTCTTTACTTGACGCTTCTGACCGAAGGATGAACATTCCCAGAGTAACATGGGTTGGCCTTGTTAATACAAATGTTCGATCACCTTCCGATCCATTGTCAGTCAAAGTTACGGAGTTCTCAATATCTCTGTACATCCAAGAAGAAAATTATGGCAAAGCCTCTGGCTCCGAGTTCTATCGGCTTATCTCCAACTCTTCTAACTCTTCTTTCTCAAAGTCCACTTATCAACTACACATTTAAAAACGTCGGTGGTTTATTTCATGCTGTCATTTAACGCCTGATCTCCGCAGTTTATTGACGAAAAAAACAACAAAGAGAATTCCGTCTTCCGGTGGCTTTTCTGGCTTTTGTGCAAGCTAAAGAAGATAAAAATAAAAATCAAACGTCCAAAATCGCGCCCGTTCGAAATCAAGTCGGTCAATCTGGCAATATTTTTGGTGGGGTGCGGTGCCAATACGTGGCCCTTTATCAACCCTGTGTACACCCTTACCAAGGCTCTGGCTGTACCCCTGCATACAACCCATTGTAAATGGTGATAGCATACATGGGAATGAAAATATTCCTGGCGACGTTCCTGCCGGGTGTTGGGTTCAGGGCGCAAGAAAAAGGTTCTGCTTAGGAAATACCCGTTACCGCAAGCTGCCAATACAAGCCATTCGAAGTACATCATGAAAATAAAGCTGGAAAGTTATGAATAGACATGAACGCACGCGGTTGGTTACATTGAGGGGAAGAAATTCTGCAATGCCTTACCAGGATGAGGAGGGGGTTGAACTCCTATTTTTTTTTTAGGACGGACGGGAACGTGCCCCGCCCCCTCTGGTGGAGTCGCCTGTCTTGCTTCCGTCAACCCGCAATAAAGGGAAAACGAGTTCCGCCCGAATCTAACCCGGTGTTTTCCAAAGTTGGTGACCCCCCCCCCCCCGTTCTCCCCCCGCGCTCCTCCCTATGTAGAAAGATCCTGGAGATGTCCTGAGTGCTTACGTCTGAAGCACCTATCGACCACCATTTCATGATGAAATCCATGTCCCGATTGGTATACGGACACTGTGGGTGACTCACCTGTTCTCGATGCCAGGAATGTGACTTGGACAGGAAGTCCTGGCGTTCGCAACTGGAGCAGTGACCGCCGATAGCTGTCGTGATCTCTTCGACTTCTGACCCTTATGTTAGGACTCGTAAACGCGGGGCTTTGCGCCAATCATGGTATGAGCTCGGCGGCGAGCACGCTCAGCCACCGGCGGTTGGGCAACGCTAACGAACGAGCCTGTTTGCAGTCTGTGTTCCGGAATCTGGACCAGGCACATCTGGCAGAAGTGTGGTGACGTGTCGACAGTCATCTGCCGCCCGGCCTTATCCTGATCCGTCCGTGTTCTGCCGGAAAGGCTATCTTACAGCTGAGTCTTGTATTATAGCATTTGTACATCTGCATATTTACTCACCCTACGCGATAATTACAGGAACAGGTTACAACTTGTCTGCTACTCTTCAACGTCAACAGCAGACATCCAACGCAACACATCTGAACACCGCGACACGAATGAATCAACAGTTGGAGACGCCTGCTTCCGCGGCAGTGCTCGTCCCATGTCCGCGAAACCGGCTGGTACGCGGTGAGACCGGCAACATGGCCTGTGCCAGCCAGCCTGTCGCCCGACATCAGCATTGTAAGCCACAGAGTTCGTCGCCGCGTCCTCAAAACAATACGTACTTTACCCCCGCAAACACGACCTTGCGCAGAATATCATCAATGGGCCAGATTGTCACCTGACGAGCCTAATCTTAACCTATTTCGCCACTGAAAATCCACGTCGGTTTGCGCCATCGCTTTCGAATTATATCCAAACGCTCTTCACACCATTCATCTCGCTGGACGCCCTCCATTCAACAGCAAATGCACAGACATTACGTAAAATATTAATTTGTACTAATTTTCTGCCTTCGTCAGCATTACTCAGTGGCGTTGCACCACTAGATTCAACATGCACAAATAGCAGCACTCGCGTATGCATAAGCCTGATGGGCATCGCGCATACCAACACTAATTAACAATCAACATACCGGACGGCATGTAGTCGCGGACGGACCATAAGCAGCCGCTCTGGAGCTGCCACAGCTCACACTGCACCATGCACGGAGATTTGTGCGGATAAATCAGCGCTATCATTGGCGCGCCGGCGGTGATGCACCTAACTCCTGATGATGATGATTGGGGCTTTAGGGCGCGCCGACTTCTGGGGTCATTTTGCGCCCACTACACGTACTGCAGCCTGATAGCAGGCGGCCGCTGGCAACAGGCTGTCTCGGACCAGGCGCTCGTATTTAGACACGTTGACTCCAACAACGGGGGTGGTGGCTTTCTCATCACGAGTTGGGGACGTCTTCCAGCTTCCTCCACACGACCTGAGAAGCAGAATCTTATGAGCGAGAAGTGAGGGAGTTCCGTCGAACCATTCCATGCCAGGGTCCATCGCTACAGTGCACCGAGTCTGTGGGCCTGCTAGATTCCGTCTAGAAGATAATAATGATTACTCACAGATGAACGGTGTGCGTTATGCATACTTCACAGACATGCTGACTACATATAAACTGCATATCTGGCGCGACTGGGGAGACCATTACGACGGAGAAAGGTCCTTAGCACGTAAGACGGGTGGGCGAACCGTTTCTAAGTCGATTTCCACAGCGATTCTACGCCTACAGCTTCAAGAGGGCATCGCTACCGCTGAATTGTGGGCTGTAGTCGCCGCGGTACTCACATTGCACATTTGACGGAGGAGCGCCTTCTCGGGGTCCTCCATCCGCGGCGTGCCCTCCTCCTGCTCCTGCGGCGGCCGCTCCAGCGAGGCCGACTCCCACTCGAGGTGCTCCTGCACCTCCAGCACGCGCATGGCCTGCACGACGGCGTCGGGCCGGCTGACGGGTCCGCCGTCACCGCCGCCGCCGCCGCCGCCCTCCTCGGCCACCTCCAGGCGACGCTCCAGGCCGCGGATGTACTGCAGGATATGCTCTGCACACACACAGGGATTGGCAGGTTAGCGTGGACGGGACCGCTGGCCGACGACGCAAGTCCGATCAGGTGCCTCGGTGCAGGCCGCGCTGCAGAAACTGGTACGTACACTTCATATCCTCATTTCCGTATTTACTTTCTGGACATTCCACTACCAAGCGCTTCGCGCATGATCGCAGGCGGCGGGGCGCCCTCAAACCCGAAACCCATCATTACCAATCGCGTGCTCGGCGCGTGGCCTAAACAAGTCCCAGACAGCGCCCACACCAACCTTAACATACACTCCATCACCTCTGTCAGACACTCATCCACCTCGCTCCGACACTCAGCTACGTTACCCAGACACTCGACCACCTCTCTCAGACACCCGGCCACCTGACTCAGACCCCTGTCTACCTCACTCAGACCCCCGTCTACCTCACTCAGATATCCGCCACCTCTCTGGCACCCCGTTCCTCCTCTCCGCCAGTCGGCCCTCCCGCCTGCCCCGCCCGCCCCGACTCGGCTGACGCAGCCTCACCGTTGAGCAGGCTGCGCTGTCGCTGGATGCTCTCCTCGAGCAGGCGCTCTCTGCTCTCAGTGCGGCGCGGCCGCTCGTTGTCGGCCGCCGGGGGCGGCGGCAGGTACACGTGCGCCGAGAGGCCCGGCTCGTCGGCGGCCGTGCTGCTGCTGCTACCGTCGCCGTCGTCGCGCGGCTGGTTTAGCGCCGCGCCGCAGTTGCTGCAGAGCGAGCCGTGGCCCTGCCGCTCCTCGTCCAGGTAGAGGCACAGCTCCTGCAGTCAGAGGCGGGGTCTGAGACGGCGTCAGGGGCGGGGTCAGAGGCGAAATCAGAGGTGGGGTCAGAGGCGGGGTCTGAGACGGGTCAGGGGCGGGGTCAGAGGCGGGGTCAGAGGCGGGATCAGGGGCGGAGGAGTAACGGAACCGCTGCTGCAGGGGACGCCATATATCGCCGGATGGATACTTACAGACACAGCTCTTAAATCGACGGAAAAGAGAATACGTCGTCCACTGAGTCGCCCAAGGAAACAAATGACGGGGATCTACAGGCAAGCTTCAAAACCCTTACAAATGAAAGGTAGCGCTGGGATCGAAAAAGCCACGCGTGCCTAACGCTATACATGTCCACAGTGTTCACGCCCTTCCCACTAGCTTAAACCATCAAGCGACGCAGACACATGGCCGGTATTGCCGTTCGTTAGGTCAGAATTACGCACCAAGCAACAACACCACCCAATTTCTACAGCGACCTGCCTACTACAACCGCGGCCATACAGCGAACCGTGGGCGGAGCAGCCCAGCTGCCGCAGGTCGTCGTCTGACCTTGAGCTCCAGGTTGTCCTTGACCAGCTCTTGCTGTTTGGTGTCCAGCTGGCGCAGCTTGCTCTGGTAAGCGGACACTTCCTGGCGCATGACACTGGCAGTGTAGCGACCGAACCGCTGCCACTCGCGCGCCAGCTTTCGCCCTTTCTGGCGGTCGTCGTCGAGGAAGCAGCAGAGATCGCGCAGCTCCTGGCTCTCGTCCTGCAGTCGCCGGTGCACCTGCTGCACCGAGCGCTGCTCCACCGCCTGCTGAGCGCAGCGTGTGTCACAGGGCGAGCAGCACTGCACAGCGCCGCGTGTGAGGCGTCAAAGGGCGAGCCGCGCAGCACAGCGCCGCGTGTGAGGCGTCACAGGGCGAGCAGCACAGCACAGCGCCGCGTGCGGCGTCACAGGGCGAGCGGTACAGCAGTGTCATGCGGGGCGTCACAGGGCGAGCAGCACAGCACAGCGCCGTGTAGGGCGGGCAGCACAGCACGGCGCCGTGTGGGACGTCACAGGGCGAGCAGCACAGCACAGCGCCGCGTGCGGCGTCACAGGGCGAGCAGCACAGCACAGCGCCGTGTAGGGCGGGCAGCACAGCACAGCGCCGTGTGGGACGTCACAGGGCGAGCAGCACAGCACAGCGGCGTGTGGGGGTCACAGGGCGAGCAGAATAGCACAGTGCCGTGTGGGGTGTCACAGGGCCAGCAGCACAGCACGGTGCCGTGTGCGGCGTCACAGGGCCAGCAGCACAGCACAGCGCCGTGTAGGGCGTTACGGCCACAGGGCACACCCGTGTCGGCAGGGTCAGCAGGGGTGGCTCCGGGGAAAGACACGAATGAGTGATCAAAGTAGATTGTAAACATGCTTACCTAGGAGCATTTCAGCTGACGGGATATTTACCTGCTCCACAGTACATTTCAGACATGTCCTGTGGACACCCTTTGGAACCAGGGACCATGGACTCGGTGGGACTTTTGCGTACGCTCTGATACACTGTCCTGCAGCCACCCAACTATCTCCCCCTATATGAATGTACTTTGTCTCAAGCGTCCAGCCCGTCGGCATTCAGGCCATGCACGTGACGTCCAGACCACGCGGTGGTGCAGTCATCATTTAACCCAGGAAGGGGCTAAATTGGGTTACGGGGGCCAGTCAATGGAGCCAGTGTTTGTCGCTACAGAGCCCTGCTTTTGAATTCGGAGGACCTTCCGCAATTCAGGACCCTATACTGATACCTGAAGGTGACATTTCTCTTCTTTTTCTTCCGTTCCAGGATCCATTCCGACGTCTTAACGTGCCCAAAAAGTACCGGGGCCCGACCATCTGCAGGAAAGGGGAGGAGAGGGGGGGGGGGGGGGCATGGCCCCAGAGGTTTTCTTGGTTTCGTCTAAGTGACGAAACCACGTCCACGTGACTGTCCCGTAACTAGGTCACGACTCCGTCGGTCAGATGGTCCTGCTACACGGAGTGGGCCCCATCTCGGGTGTTCCTCGCTGTGCTGTCGAGCACCCTCAGAAACCAAGCGTGTTTTCAGGTGGGCAGCAATCTTTTGCCGCAGGCGGTTGATGCGAAAGTGACCTGGTAAGGATTCCCCAGCAGTTTGCTACTGTGGCCTTGCGACGCACTCAGCTGCATAGGCTACGCGGCATCGCGCGTCTTTTGCGCTGGCAGGAACGGAGGGCCCCGCAGGGGTCGAACCCCGTACCTCTGGCTTCCCAGACGAGCAGATTAACTACTACTACGCTATCGGTACTCCAGAAGTGCTGCTCGGAAAGATTTAACCTCCAAACGACCTTTCCCCGTCGCCCTTTGCGCGCCTTACGTGCATCACTGCCGCGGCGGGCGCTGTCCGCCGCCCGCCGCCCGCCGCCGGCGCCGCTGACGCCGCCCACTGACCTGCGCCTGGATCTGACGGTGCAGCTCGCGCAGCGCATGGCCATGCTCCATCATGAGCCGGGCGATCTCGGCCTCGGCGTGCCGGTACCGGGCCAGCAGGTCGCGCGGCGAGCCACGCAGCAGCTCGTCGTCAGAGAGCCGCGGCCCCAGCTGCGTCGGGTAGCTGGGCGGGCGCGGCTCGGCCGAGCCGGACAGCGCCGGCTCCGGCGCCGCCGGGTACCTGCTCGACGCCGAGGAGGACTTCTGCGGCTCGCCGGCCGGTCGGTCCGACGTCGGAGCCCCCAGCCGCTCGCGGCTGTCCGGCGGGCCCAGCCGCTCGCGGCTGTCCGGCGGGCCCAGCCGCTCGCGGCTGTCAGGCGGGCCAAGCCTCTCCGGGGGGCCAATTCTCTCGGGCGGGCCAAGTCTCTCTGGCGGGCCTATGCGTTCCGGTGGGCCCATGCGTTCCGGTGGGCCCAGCCGCTCCGGTGGGCCTATGCGCTCCGGGGGACCCATGCGCTCCGGCGGGCCCATGCGCTCCGGCGGGCCCATGCGCTCCGGCGGGCCCATGCGCTCCGGCGGGCCCACGCGATCCGGGGGGCCCATTCTCTCGGGCGGGCCCAGCCGGTCGGGCGGGCCGATCCTGGCGGGCGGACCGGGCGGGCCGGGCCGGCCGGGCGGCGGGGGACCCAGCAGCTCGGCCGGCGGCGGGCCCGTCCGCTCGGGAGGACACGTGCGCGGCCGGTCCTCGCGCGGGTCACGCTTCGGCGCCGCCCGCTCCGGCAGCTCGTACGAGCTCGGCTGGTAACGCTTGCTGTCGCCGGGCGTGGCCATCGGGTTGGTCTTGGGGAAGCCGAGCGGGGGCGCGTAGCCGAACACCTGCGGCTGGCTCTGGTACTGCTTGTGCACCGGCCGGTGCCCGTGCGCCGGCTTGTCGGGGCTCGGGTCGCGGCCGGCGTACGCCTTGTGCGGCGGCTGCGGGATCTTGGAGTCGGCGGGCCGCGCGCGCCGCCGCGGGTCCTGCGCCGGGTAGTAGAGCTTGGAGGGCGAGCCGTCGGCCGGCTTGGTCAGCTCGCCGCCCGCCGGCGGCGCCGGCTGCTGGTGGATGGCGGCGCCACTCGGAATGCGCCGGTACACATCGTCCCGGGAGGCCATCGGCGCGCTGCGGCCGACGGAGACATGTCAGGGGTCACGTCTGCTGCAGCGGCGTCAGCTCAACGGACCGAGACAGCAGGTCACAGGGCACGACTGACCGCAGCAGCGTCAGTTCAGCGGACCAACACAGCGGGTCTGAGGTCACGCCTGATCGCAGCAGCGTCAGCACAGCGGGCCGAAACAGTAGGCCAGGTGTCACGTCTGACTGCAGACGTGTCAGCTCAGCGAACTGAGACAGCGGGTCAGAGGTCACGTCTATCTGCAGCGGCGTCAGCTCAGCGGAACAAGACAGCGGGTCAGATGCCACGTCTGAATGCAACAGCGCTGACACGAGGCACGACACTTTGTCGTCGAATCGTAATAAATTGTATATGGGTCCCTAACTGAGATCCAGTAGCGATAAATCGCCCAACATAAACAAAGAACTGTTGTCACCTACAGTTCACGAGTGTAATAGACCTCTTCGTAAACGAGTTGAAATTAATGCATTTTACGCATTGGTACTGCAGGAAACAGTGACGCCTGGGTTTGAATTTGGTCAAACGTGATGGCAAGATCCGCTGAAGTGTTCACAATGACCTGCACTCTATCTAAGGGCACTCTGACGGCGACAGTCTACCCCCCCCCCCCCCCCCCCCCCCACCAAGCCGACTTTGGACACCAACACAGCGGCACGTCGGCGACAGCGGCGCAGTGGCTCGGAGACTGGGGCCGACTGAGCGTTCCGCTCCTCGACCAAACATGAGGACCGACGTTACACCGGCACACACCAGCACACGTCCTACCACACGACAGCCGGCTACCGGCGCAACAGCGCACCACGTGACCTGAGGACCGACAGAGCTGACCTTACACAGGACTTGGGAATCGGTCCACCCGTCCATACCAGGCCAACACCTGGGCATCGACGCCTATGCTGCAACAACAAACAAACCCCCTCGCGACACCTGGCGATGTACACAGCAGGTCTCGCGCCATGGGGCCGACTCCGCTGCTCCCCTCACCAGATCTAGTGACCGACGCTGCGGAATCAGATCCGCTGGTCCGTGGAGAGCACGGGCCTGGCACGTCCGAGGCGCTTCGGGTCGGCCTCTGACCAGATCTACGCCCGGAGGGTGAGGTGAAAGGGTTCGGTGGAAGGCCGAGGGGGCACCGAGTCTCATCGGGCTGCCTCTCGAGCCAAGTGCACATTCACCCCTTCCACCGACCTCCGAACTGATGCAATGGCGGATGATTACACGTGATTGGCTGTCCAAGGATGGCATGCTCGCCGCTACTTATTGTATTGCAAACAACATACAAACTTTTGCACCTTGCTTGCACAACGCCTGCTGCGATCACATACTGATTGCAAATGCCATGCCCAAGATGTCTGGCCATGCTCGCTTTTTACACAAGTAGCCCTCGTTACACGCCAAGAACAATGCTCGGTACTCAGTTTATCGCAACGCTGCAAGTGGTTCTCATTGTCATGCTATATTTTTGTTGAATTTCTCCTATTCGCAACCCACAAGAAACTGAAAGTCTTCGCTGCACGCGGCGCTGCGGTTGGTTGGCAGGCCTCCGACCGTGTCTACGAATGCAGCGCACCCCAACGAATTCCTCCCCGGCTGTCACGCCCCGTGTTGCCTGCGGGCTGCGAATTCGTGATTCATCGCGCCACACCCGTGACCTCCCCTCGCTCAGGCGAAAGACCTTTTGCACAGATCGGGTCGCCCTGGGGTAATCAGGGCCCCTGTGTCAGTCATGAACCAACTATACCGAACAGTGGGCCCTGTCGGCCTGGGGGGCCTTATTTCCAACGCCGGGACAAGAGCGGAGCCCGCTAATGTCAGTCACAAGACCTCTCACATTCGTCGAAGCCAATGAAACATTGATGTGTCCATGTGTCGGTCAGGGGGTCAACGGTGCCAGACGGGGGATCCCGTATTCGCCAGGGACTTCAAATCGGTCCGCGGCCCATTTTCTGAACTTTGGTCGGGGCCCTCTGGCAATTCAAGGAGCTATGATGAATGACGGTGAAAAGGCACACATTGAGATAATGAATGGGCGCTGTGCCAGTCCAACGGGCAAAGAAACGAACTGAGGGCCCAATGCCCGTCCCGGCCAGGGAGCCGATAAGGCGAGCTGGGATACCTATGCTCATTTTAGGACACTCTGGCCCTGTGAGGGCTACTGCGTCGATCCGGGGCCAACTACTGCCGCGGCCGCAGGGCTCCCATGTCAGAGGTGACCGATATATAAAAATACACCCCCCTGACGGCCTCCGGCTCGATCAGGAACCTACCGTCTCTGTGTTACCAGAATGGTAGCCGGAGAGTAGGAAGGAAAGGCCCTTTCAGCCCCTGACTACGAAAGGTGACCAGTCTCCTAGTTCTCTACCCACGGGACCCTTGCCCGGGAAAGGTAAGAGGGCCCTTCGTCTTCAGTCTACGGGGCGCCTCAATTCAAGCGCCCGTAAGCATGACTGGATAACAGAGATTGGAGCCCTTAGAATAAAATGGGTCAAAATTCGATGATTTTGTATGGGGTTATTTTCGTCGGGTATCTATCCTTCATTACCTCCGTGCCTCTCCCCATGCTAGTACCACCTGAGTCCCCGACTCCATGACGTCCGTGACTCATCGTACTCCAGCGGTTCTGTCCCGTCTGCGAGCACCGTTGGCTTAGTAGTTCTAACCCGGACATGACTCTCTCCCCCCCCCCCTTCCGTACTCCCACAACCGTGCTCGCCCGCCCCGTGTCCAACAGGTCACACAGCGCGCGCGGCCCGCAGATGGCCGCCGTGTCTGGGCGCTGATCGGCGGCGCCTCCCGCGGCCGGACGTCAGGTTCGCCAGGATCGCGAGCCTCCGACCGAAGTGGGTCAGCCAGGCCGCGGCGTCCGGTCACCAGATCCCGGCGAGAAGCAGGCCGACCCCGACCGGCCCGGCCGCGCCGGCGCCGGCCCGACCCGGCCCGCCGTCTCCCAGGCGTCACTGTTCACACTCCCACCGCTCACAGGCGGCGCTGCTCACACTCCCGCCGCTCACAGAGAGCGCTGCTCACGCTCCCGCTGCTCACATTCTCACCAATCACAAACAGCGCTGCTCACACTCCCGCTGCTCAGACAGCGCTGTTCACTCTCATCGCTCACAGACCACGCTGCTCACGCTCTCGCCGATCACAGACAGCGCTGCTCATACTCCCACCGCTCACGGACAGCGCTGCTCACGCTCCCGCCGCTCACATTCTCACCGATCACAGACAGCGCTGCTCACACTCCCGCCGCTCAGACAGCGCTGCTCACACTCCCATTGCTCACAGACCACGCTACTCACGCTCTCGCCGCTCACAGACAGCGCTGCACACACTCCTACCACTCACAGACAGCACTGTTCACATTCCCATTGCTCACAGATAGCGCTGCTCTCACTCCCACCGCTCACAGACCCCGCTGCTTAAAATCTCACCGCTCACAGACCGCATTGCTCACGCTCTCACCGCTCAAAGGCGAGAGCAGTACCAGTGCACACGGCGGCGCCTTCTCTCTCACGGGAGGGCAGGTCCTGCCCGGGGCGCCGACAAAACTGCCCCAGGCGTTGCAGACTCTCTCCGTTCCGGTCCGTCTCTCCGGACTCGCCCGTCCGAGCTCAACTCGACGGGAGGCCCGTCAGATCAGGCTGCTAATTACCTCACTAGAAATACCCGACAAATGGCGTGTTTGCCAGTCCAAGAATGCCAGCAAAACAGGCACTTTCCCCTTATCGCTCTCTAATCCACAATGTCTGCCATACTTTCGTCTGCACACCCCCACCAGCGGGGCCGGATGCTGCTCCAATAGATGGACACTCAACTGCACCCAGACAACTGGTGTGCCATTCACGATCGCGCAAGTCACGAAGTCGAACGGCAATATGGTGGAAAAACAAGCAACGATGGGCACAGCACGCTAAGACCTGCACATCTGCACAACACATTAAAGACTGACTCAAGCTATCCACGCAAGCCGATGCCACGCTGTGGTTAACAATGTGCCAGCCACTATAACGCCCCCTGTCAGAGCTCCACAACGCCTCAGTCCACATAGCTCACAAAGGACAACCCGCTCCAGAAACTTCACCAGCGCCCCTGCTGGCGCGCGGAACAACGTCCGCCGCTCACCTGTGGCTCTGCTCCGTTCAAAACCCGCTGAGGCGCTCGCCAACGGCCGGCGTGGCGCTTCGGACCCCGCGTCTCGCCCACCAAAACACCGATGCCGTGCAACACGCCGTCAGCACAGCAGCCGTGACCTTCCGCCGCCGGGCTGGGCCTGCTGCGACGCCGGGCGCGCGCGTCCGCTCGCTGGAGCCGACATGGCGGCGCGCGCGGCGCTCTCTCGCGGCGACGGCGCGGCGCCGCGGGGCATAGACTGGAATGCAGCGGGCAAGAACGGCCGCCGCCGCGTAACGGGACGACCGGCGGCCAGCGTGGCGCCGGACGGGACGGAAACGAACTCCACGAAGGGATGACGATCAGGGACGGCCGTGATGGCACGAGGAACGGTCGTACACAGTCAGGGAGGGATACTGGGAACAGCGAGGTCGCGGTGATTGGTCACGAACAGTCTGGAAATATCTAGGGACGACGGCCACGTAGGTCAGGGAAGGGCCAGGGATAATGGTCCTGTGCATTCGGGGATGGATGACCGTCAGGTGGGATGAGGGAGGATTGATGGTCAGGCACAACCGGAGGAGGATGCCCATCGGGCACAGCCGGGAGCGGTGGCGGTCAGGAAAATAGGAGAATTCAGTATGGGGTGAAAATCGTGCACAGCGTGGAAAGACTGTCGAGTCGGGGAGGAATGCCGTTTGGGTCCAGTCGGGAGGGGTGACCGTCAGGTCAGGGAATCACAGTCGGGTCAGTCGGGAGGTGACAGTCAGCTGCAGAGGGAACCACAGTCGGTTACCGTCGAGAGGGGGACAGTCATTTGCAGAGCGAGTTACAGTAAGTTACAGTCGGGGGGGGGGGGGAGGGGGAGGGAGTGCCAGTCGTATACGATCTTGGTGGCATAAGGGTTCGTTGCAGGCGGGTGTGATCGCTCATTTACGGTCGGGAACAGTTATAGGCGTAGAAACGTTTCGAAACGTTTGAGTGGTGGCAGGGTCAGGACATACTTGAGGAGCTTTTACTGGAAAATGATCCCGGCAACCAAGGAGCGGGAGATGTGGAGATTAAGAAGTTTGTTCCCTCTTAATTCACTTAAAACATTTGGGAAATAAATAAATGGCATGATCAGTATGCCAGCTATACACCTACAATTGTTGCCTGCTAGTGCGCAATCTTGCATTTTCGACTCGTCCACGGCACTTACAAAATAAGACCAGCTAGTTTCCTACAATTTTTCGTCCGTTTCCACATCAGTTCTCCTGGAGAGGCGAAATTCCACGAGCTGGTATGCGTTTTCGGTCATTGGGAAGACATCTGCCCCCACAATTCATATGTCCGGCATTTTCACAGGCTGATCCAAATATCAGATGTGAACCAATGGCCCAAAGCGGGTCCAGAGTTTTTGTGCGCCTGGATTTCGCAGACCGCTTTTCGAGATGTACGATTTTGTCGCAGCATTTTAGGCACCACCAATTGCAAGGCTCACACGCTACCTGCCGAAAACTATGTGAAAGCCATAAAACAGGGGCTTCACCTGTAACAATATTGTCGCAGACTGAAGGAACCCCTTTCGAATAGTACTTGTCTGAGCTCTGCTCCCGCTCGCCGTCGGCGGCCACTGCCCTGGACCGGCTGTCCACCGCATAACTGGCTGCAAACTGATCGGGTGACTGCTCTGCTGCTTTTTTATGAATCACTACTACTACTCATTGGTGAGTAAAGCAGACACCTGCTACATCACTTATTTTCGAATTATCTCCCCTGGCACCAAAACGGCAGAAAGCAAGCTTTCCATAAACTGCCTGCATTCAGTAGCGCAGGCATGGGGGGGGGACAAGGAGCACGAGCACGTCCTCCCCCCCCCCTCCTTAGGTTCTGGGGACCCTCGGAACCTACGATTAAGGGTACGAAGAGCCAGCCAGAGGTCTCATTTAGGGGCCCCGGCCCGCAGGGCCTGGCACTCAAGTGCCAGTCAGAGGGCCCGGCGCGGTGATCAGGGGCCTACTGAGTCGATAAGGGTCAATATTTCGATCAGACACCACTAGTAACGCGCAGTCGGCTCCATGGCGGCAAGGGCCTCGGGCCCATTTCCCGAACAGGGCAAAGCCGGAGCCAGCGAGGTACATTGCCAGGGGCTCCACGGCGCCTAACAGGGGCCCTGTGTTGTGAAGGGGTCCCGAGTCGGCCAGAGGTAGTGTTTGAGGCGGCCCGAAAAGCATTGGGGGCCCGCCGGGTGTAGTGTTTTGGTGTTGTACTCAAGGGGCCCTGTACCGAAAAGAAATAAAGGGCATCATTAGTGTTAAATGGAGTGGGTCGGGATGGCTTCATAACGCATCAGCTCATCCCATGTTTTCCTGAGAAAGTTCATCACTTTTGCAGAATCGACTAGTAAAACAACTACCATCAAAATGTTTGAGCCTGCGCGCCGGGTGCCGATAGCGTAATGATTGACGCGCCGGCGTTAACCACTGCACATCTGGGAAACCACAGGTACGGGGTTCGATTTCCCGCGGTGCCCGCCTCCCCGCCAGGGTGAGAGCCTGGCGACGCCATATGTAGCCGCAGTAGCTGAGTGCGTCATTAAACCTCAATAACACGCCCGCAATCTTAAGGAGCAAGGATAGCGATGGCTTGGTTCGCAGTTTTTGCAAAACCGAACGGCGTTGGTCGCTGCGAGTAACGCAAAGAGGCAGGTAACGAGCGTGCAATAATGACCATGGTAAAATGTTTCTGAATGCCTTTCAAAATGAATTCGTACCGTTCAAAGATTACGCTGGGCGAATCTTATTTTTACAACTATGAGGTTGTTTTTTGGAAAGATTAGCGGTTACAGAACACGGCAAACAAACTTTATATTCATCCTTCCAGTTCCATAACCAGATTCCACCACCACTTCGCAATGCTGTGAAGACCAATACGCTATTGTCATCAGTCTAAAAACCGCACAGGTGAAATAAACGCCAGGAATATCTATAAATGTACGATCTGGTATCCAACAGCGTTCAAAGGTACTTCTTTCAGATGCGTCACTATTTTCGTTCGTCCTTTGGCCACGGCTTAATGACAGGGGCGGGCCGACGTTGCGCGGCCCGAGGAGACAGCGACGCTTGGCGTCGAGGTTTTTGTGGCTTAGATATGCGAGCGCACATGCTCAAAACTGCGTTACACAATTTGTAGCACTCATTGATTCTAATGAATGTTGAAAGTATCCAGGCAAATATGGCCTGGCCATGCTAATGCAAATTGTTGACCCATTTTGATCTTCAATCTACATTCGCGAAATCCTTGTTATTTATGTACATCCCAGGTAAAAGTTCTGACGAAGTTTTTGAGTTCTCTCGGTGTAAAACAGCCCACTGGATCATCGTAAAATGAAGAGCGCCGGCAATGTATTTCATGCAGTTATTTAACGCGTGATTTTGTCACTTCATCCACTATAAACCTAAGACTGAACTGATCTCGCGGTAGCGTCTGACCTACATTCCAGTTAAAGAATATATATATATATATAATCTTATATATCTATATATCTATATATCTATATATATATATATATATATATATATATATATATATATATGTGTGTGTGTGTGTGTGTGTGTGTGTGTGTGTGTGTGTGTGTGTGTGTGTGTGTGTGTGTGTGTGTGTGTGTGTGTGTGTGTGTGTGTGTGTGTGTGTGTGTGTGTGTGTGTGTGTGTGTGTGTGTGTGTGTGTGTGTGTGTGTGTGTGTGTGTGTGTGTGTGTGTGTGTGTGTGTGTGTGTGTGTGTGTGTGTGTGTGTGTGTGTGTGTGTGTGTGTGTGTGTGTGTGTGTGTGTGTGTGTGTGTGTGTGTGTGTGTGTGTGTGTGTGTGTGTGTGTGTGTGTGTGTGTGTGTGTGTGTGTGTGTGTGTGTGTGTGTGTGTGTGTGTGTGTGTGTGTGTGTGTGTGTGTGTGTGTGTGTGTGTGTGTGTGTGTGTGTGTGTGTGTGTGTGTGTGTGTGTGTGTGTGTGTGTGTGTGTGTGTGTGTGTGTGTGTGTGTGTGTGTGTGTGTGTGTGTGTGTGTGTGTGTGTGTGTGTGTGTGGTGTGTGTGTGTGTGTGTGTGTGTGTGTGTGTGTGTGTGTGTGTGTGTGTGTGTGTGTGTGTGTGTGTGTGTGTGATATCCAAGACAAACATGCCCTCAAGGTCCTGCCCTCTAAAAGCTACCCTTCAAAGTCAAATGCGGCCTCAAAGGACAGGGAGCCACCTATCACCCAAAAATTCCTGACCGATTTTAGATTTACCAGCACCACCATAGAGAAACCTAGCATCCGTAACAAAGTCCTGAACTCTCAAGGTCATCCTTCAAGTCCAAATTGGGACTCAG